AGTCAGGACATCAGATGATGTATTTTGTTGTTGTTGTGTATAGCACTGGATAAATCAGCTGAAAGGGACCTCTTTCAAGTGCTGAAGAGCAAAGATGTCTCCTTGAGAACTAAGGTGTACCTGATACAAGCCATGTTATTTTCTATTGCCTCATATGTATGTGAGAGCTGGACAATGAATAGGGAAGACCAAAGAAGAGTCGATGCTTTTGAGTTGTGTTGGTGAAGAATGCTGAAAGTAAAATGGACTGCTAAAAGATCTAACAAATCTGTCCTGGAGGAAGTGCAGCTGGAATGCTCTTTGGAAGTGAGAATGGCCACACTTCGTCTTACATACTTTGGTCTTGTTGTCAGAAGGGACCGTTCACTGGAGAAGTATGTCATGCTTGGTAAGGTTGAGGGTCGATGAAAGAGGGGAAAACCCTCAATGAGATGGATTGACACAGTGGCATCAGCCATGGGATCAAGTATAACAAGGATCATGGAGCTGGCACAGATCAGGCAGTGTTTTGTTCTGCTGTGCCCAGGGTCTCTATAAGTCAGAGATGACTCGACAGAACTTAACAATAACAACAACAATATATGTAAACCATAGGAGCTCTGGTGGCATAGTGGATAAGGCACTTGTCTGCTAACCAGAAGGCCAGCAGTTCAAACCCACCAGCTCTGTGGAAGGAAGACAGGGCAATCTACTTCCTTACAGATTTACAGCCCACTACACTTTTCATGTCAGAAGGAAGATTGGGCAATCTACTTCCTTAGTGATACTGCCTCGGAAACCCAAGGAGGGGTCGCTATGAGTTGGGTCCAACTCGATGGCACATAACAACAAACACTTCTCATGAGATTTAGCAACTGTATTTTAGTAATATGTAAAATTAAATTTGAAATCAACACAAAACATAAAGTCTTATGGTTAAGGGTTGTTAAAATTTTGCAATATAAATATATTTTTCAGTGTTAGAAAGTAACATAAAATTGTATGGAAATAAGAAGCTAATAATGAAATTTTAAAACTTTAAAATAAAGAGATTTTAAGATATAACCTCAAAAATGTTGGGGAGAGAATGAAATAAAATAAAAGATGTAGAAGAGAAATAACACTGTAAAACTTTATGGAGTTACGTAAAGAAAACAAACTAGAGATGATGTAGAAATGAAAAGAATATACTATAAAATCATTTTATAAAAATGTGTTCAAATATTAATATAAAGGTAGATAGCAATGAAATGTTGAGCTGAGATTTCATTCCAGTTTAGTCACTAAGTTGGGGTTTTCAGCAAATTAGTTCCCTTAGCTTTCAAGGGCTTTAGGTTGTCAATCTTAAAAATGCCCGTTACCAAGCTATAAAGTAACACACCCAATGGAAGAATCTTAGGTTCATTTGAATTCAGTTATAAAAGTAATGTAAGTAATCTTTACAAATCCTAATACAGCAAAATTAATAATCTAATAATATAAATAATCTTAATATAGTAATCATGCTTTAGTATTACTATCACTTCAACTAGAGGTATGCTTATGTGTTATTCTATATTTAAAATCATGATATCATTATTTCCATTAATATTTTATTTTTTAATAAAATTGAATGCAAAAGAGGCTGAAGTAGTAAGTACAGGAAATGTCATTAAATAATGACATTCTAAAGAACTTGTGGCCAGAAAAGAGACCAGAAGGTGCAAACAGCTGTGCAGAAA